AGTGACCTGAACTATAAGGACCCTACTAGGGTACCGAACTGGGAGAGTCGAACGTTCGGGTTCTTCAACCTCTGGAACGCCGGAGGAGAAATGGACCCCTGCTGAAGCCACCTGTTGGTCGGAGGATTCCACCGGACTCGCAAATTCGGTGCGTGAGTTGACGAAGGGAACGCCTGAGTTCCTGCTCGGGAGCGGGTTCGACTCCGTGGTGGGTGTCTGAACTTGCTTGGGGTTCTGTACGAACGGTATGAAGCCTGGATCAAGAAGATGTTCTCGTACCCTTCAGCCCTTCAGCCATCTTCAGCCTAGGGAGCATTGAGTTTGGGCAGGTTTGGGTGTATTTTATGACCCTCCCTGCAACAACATGGAAGTGGACACCACCCTCTACCAAGACAAACATCGTCTTCCAAGGGGCCCATTGTCCACTTTCACGATTCTGGCATATTCTTTCTCATCAAGGGCTCATTGCAAGGAAACATTTTCGACTGACAGCTGTTGACTGAATAGCTTTTGTGCGAAGTAAGTAGGGCATGGCTTTGCCAGTGATCAGGTTGTTTTCACGCGGTAGTCAGCCCCAGCATCCCAGAGCTGCGGCCCATCCAGTCGCTTCACCCGGAGAACGACGATGCGTCGCGCGGAAGAACGACGCGTCGCGCACGCTGCCCAGGACATGTTCTTCCGCGGCTGTGCCAAGTTGCGGGGGCCTGCCATGGCGTGTGATTTGCACCCTGGCTCCGGAAGCCTTCAGCCTGGGGGGAATGGGTCTCCTAAGAGGACATGAGGATGCACCCGATGCACCCGATGCACGCAAAGTGGTAGAGAACAAGACTACACAATAGCACGTGAGCAGTCAGATGTAAGATGATGTAAGACCGTTTTGAGGGTGAGCTGGCTGCAGTCACCGCAAATTTGGGGGGACTGTCCTCAGTTGCTCAAGGAGAGGACAAGCGAGGGTTGTGCCAAAAGCGGAACACCTCCTATGCTAGTTGCAGGTGTTTCCAAGTGGCATGAATCTCACAGACCTCATGGCTCAAAACACTAGGAGCCCTAAAGCGAAAGTTGCACATCTATTTCTCATGATTTCTCCTTTACCCTCCGAAGTCATTTGGTGATTGGTCTGACACACCCAACATCACCCCCTCTCATCTTAACTTCTTCAGTTGTTTCCCCCCACCCACGCACCCACCCGGCTGGCCCGACCTTGGAGCAAACGCTCCACTGAAGGCACCAGCTCTCGATTGATCTGAAAGCAAATCTGGAGCGTTGCGACCACAACTCGGAGAGGATCCGCCAGGTGAACGAGACCTTAGCCATCGTCCTGGATCATGTGGATGACATGGACATCAGCCGCTTAGATGTCTCATGTTTCTTTTGGAATTGCAGACGAGACAATGCAAAAAGTGAATATGACCGACCCTTAATTATATAACAATTCTTGTAAACAAACTGCAACATATTGTGAATGACATGGGCGTCAGCAGCCTGGGCGTTCTATGTTGTAGCCAACTCCAACCCACCCAGCCCCTTTCAAGCCCACTTCCATTGCTGTTTGGCCAGAACTGCCGATCGCCGATGCCGATCGCCGATCGCCGATTCTTCGTCCGGTGAGGCATCATGAAGAGCGACGTGGACTTTAAGGATCCGGTGCTGGCGGCGCGGCAGGTCCGCCCCAAGACCTCCAAGAGCGACGTGATCCGTGGCAGGCGGAGCGTGAGGGGGACAGAAAAACCGCCACCAGAGTGGGGGGTCTAAGGGGCCCTTGACAGGACATGAGGGACGGGGTTGGGAGACACACCCCAAGGCTGTTCAAGGTGGACAGAAACCAACAGAGTCAGAGGTTGAAGAACCCGAACTAGACTATCCCATAGGTACCCTGGTAGGGTCCTATTGTCACTTAACCTTTGTTCCCACAGTATTTGCACCTTTTTGGATCTTTTTGGTGCAGTGGGATTGTGGAATCAGAATGCGATGTACTGGTCTTCTTGGGCGTGCTTTTCCCTCCACCATCCGCAAGTGTGTGGTTATCCGATTGTTTTCCAGGCAGCTCTAGCCTGCATACTAGCATACTATCGCCTTTAGAGAACATCAACAATGAGTTGAACGCATTAAAGAATTCCAGCAAAAGGATTGCTTCTCTCATCTCTCTCATTGCCTTCTGCGTACAATATGTTTTTTGGATTTTTTTGGTTTGGTTCTTGGATGTGATGCCAACAGTGGCTTGGTCGTTGGCAAGGTGCGAAGGGTCCCTCTGGCAGTTGCTGAAAGTAGGCTTGATGTACCAAAGCTTGTGGAAGCGGGTCTCCTTGGAGGCGACATGTTTCCCTGGCAAACTGGGGAGTTCCGGAATTTCATCACTGGCCATATCTGGCCATAGTGAAAACAAGAATGTAGAAAGAACATGCAGTTACAATGTTACACCCGGTTGGGTTCCCATTTGAGAGCGCATCCGTCCATCATGTCGTATACGCACTGCATTTGACTTGTGGTCATGGCGTCGGGGATGAGGTGGTTGATGCCGATGGCGACCAATGAGCAGTCCATGTGGATGGATTTGGATCGACAGGCCAAAGATAAGGAGGGGAGTTGAAGGGGCGAGGATTGGGGAGGGGACGTGGAGGGGGAGGAGATGCTGGCGACGCATTCAGGGCTGCAAATCAGAGAACGCTTTGGCTTTGGAGCCATAGGTCCAGTTTTCATGATTTGGGGCGCTGGCATCGTTTTTCTGAAGGCCAGATATGATTCAGTCATGGCGTACGATCCGAGCAGATTGTGGGGAAGCATATGTTCAAATTCCACAGACTCCTTGCAGGAAGCCCGAAGCCGCACGAAACCGGACAAGAAGGATCAAAAAGGATGCCGTGGAAAAAGGTAACAGCTAGCAGTACAGGTAGGCGGAAGTAGCAGGAAGGGGAACTGGAGGGTCCGCAGACTTTGGTCGGTTCAGGGCCTGGTTGGCCGGTTGCGGAGCCAGTAGCTGTCTTCAGGAGCTCGCGGTCAAGCTCAACATGATGCTGGAGAAGGACTGGCGATGAGAAACCACCCCGTCTGGCGTTCAGGGAGTAGCAGAGGGCACGGTCTCAGGGCACCTGAGAGTGGTGGCCAGAGAGAAAGAAAAGTCAGTTGTCCAAAGGTCCCGCAAGAAAAGGGTTGTCCGATACTTTTGTTTTCAAGGGAGCGTTGGGAGTGAGTTCAACTCTTTTCACAACACCTCGAAGTGAGGTGATTGTAGCACACCTGAAGCAAGGATATGTCTGGTTTCCAGTCGTATGAATCCAGTCCAAGCACCGCCTGCCGGCTAGGGACGGGAAATACGTCAAGAAACAAGAGGTGATGTGATGTCTAGGCTTCTCGCTGGTGACTAGCACAACAAGGCCATCAAGCTCCCTAAGCCGAAGGCTCAAGTCATGGCCCATCTTCATGTTCCTCCAGGGGTCGCAACTTGCAGGAGTGCCGTTCCCCTTTTCGGATAGGAGGTCCACAGATGGGCCCCTCTCATCCACTCCACGTTTTTCCAACTCCGACCCGGTGGGTTGGAGAACACTTTCGCCTCACCTTCCTCTCAGCCGAGCCGAGCCTCTCGCCTCTCTCCTCTCCTTCAGGAGGCGCCCGTGGAGACCAAGGTAGCGGTCTTACCGCTCAACGACAAGCAGCCGAACCCCCCGCCCATGCCTGAGCGCGTGCAAAAGCTGGAGGAAGTGAAGCTGAAGCCCGTGACGTGGCACGCAGGGCATTGCAGGGGGGGCGGTTTCGGTCTGGGGTCCCTGTCTCTGGGCCGCGAGGGATGGGCTGGCGACACAGGACCGTGCAGGCTTCACAGACCTTCTTTGTCCCTACACCTGAAAACCACTGGTTGGTAGAGGCAAAAGGGGGCCATTGCCGGGGTCTATGTTAGTTTTCGGGAGTGTATTTCTGTCGGGATCTTCCACTTTACTCCTTGCCTCTCAGCCTAGGAGCAGCCCAAAGTCATCCAGTTGCCGAAGAAGATTCATCGATTCGACTGATGCGGCATGGATGAGATGCCGGTGAGCGACTTCCTCCGCACTCGTGTGTGCACTTCCAGTGTGTGGGCAAATTTGCATGGATGAACTGATCCATCAGAGATCACCCGTATGTTGGAACTTACTGTATCGTTTCAAGTTATCCTTTGCACTCCTTGGCCTTTGTGCAAAAAAGCCCATTCTGCGATTAGCTTGTTTAGCAAAGGACCACGACATATGCCCAAAGCAGGGCTTCCCACGGTTTCACCGTTGGCAGGGCTGCACGAATGTGCACCCCCCTGCGACGGAAGTTTCCACGTAGTAGGCAAGGGAGCAGCGTGAAAGTGCGGGCTGCTTAAAATCCAAGAAATCGAGCAAACACGCCGATGTGCCGATGTTCTTTTCACAGTGGGGAAAGGCGGTTGATGTGGCACGTGCACCTTGCATGTGCCGCTGTCCCAAGACACGGGAAGGAAGACACGGGGCCCATGCACCTGGAATCACGATGGAAGTGGAGGTCACCATGGAAGTGGATCCGAACCTGGGGCCCATGCCCATCCACGTGCCCAGGGCCATGGACCCCCTGGAGTGTCCCCTCAGTCCGCATCGGCTGCAAGACGTGGACCCGAATCCCGAGGTCGAAGCAGGCGGTGAGTGGCATGAGTTTAGGGCAATGCCACTCCTACTTCCTACTTCCTATACTTGATTGTGATGGTCACCCCTTCAAAATGACCACCCTTCATGGTCAGCCCTTGGGTCATGTTCGGGGTGAACATGACAAGAACATGACTACCTCCTGGTAGCCATCGTCATGCTTGAACAATTTTTTTGTAACATTTATTGCTGTATCCAGTTGGTGATCAAGCACCAAAACAACACATGCCAGCAGTTCCATGTTGAGGTGCCGAATTGGGATTGTCCTAATGTCATTTGCAAATTTTCCATCCATTCACAGAATGAATTCCTCCAAAACCACTCCAGCTTGGCACCTGCCGGTGTTTGGCCCCCGGGTGGCTTCGGCAGGAACATCGTGCATCCCAACGACGGCTTTTGGCGCCAGTTGAGGGACTTGGAGGCCGAAGAACGTGGGGCGAGTGCTTGGGGGCAGTTTTTGAGTGAAAAAACCTCAACTGGACTCAACTCGGCGAATCACAAGGGACATGTGTGGGTCCGCAGGTCCCACAAACCAGAAACCATCAGTATATAAGTGTGGAAAATACACCCCACCATTTTAATCCATTTTTGGGGTGCTTTACCATCTTCACACTTCACAGCCGTTTTTTCTTTTTGGGGTACGTCGGACATCTATGACTCTTTGACCAAGAGTGATGCTTTTGGCCCGAGGTGTTCCGCCCAGCCGTGTTGGGGTGTTTAGCCCAGGAAGACCAGAGAGGGCTGATGGATGTGTCGGTGGCCAATGTGCAGAGGGAGCTTGAGATATCATGACATATCATGCCCAGTCGGGCTCCAGTCGTACCTTCTGATCAAGTGAGACTGGGGTGGGTGCCAGGAGGGTCCAAATACCCTTCTGAGGATGTACTTGGCTAACTTGGAGCCCTAGGGATGAACATGCCAATGCCAACCATATACTGTAGAAGTTTCGTCTTGCAATGACCGCTGCAGTGGAGATGCGCGGATGGCTGAAGAAAGAAAAGAAAGACTCATCCTGTGCGTGGTTATGTGGGCCTCAAGGACCAGGAATCCCCCTTGGAACTTGAAGCCTTTGAGGATCTTTGAGGCGACCGCGGGTGGTACTTGGAAGTTCTGGACGAACGGGAGGGTTTTTGGGGGATCCTGAAGCCCAGCCGCCGCCTCCAGAGCTTGGGCCTTCGCCGCACGCTCCGCACGCTCCGCACGCTCCGCACGCTCCGCACGCTCCGCACGCTCCGCACG